CATTGAACGGCAGTTGACTTCTGACTTCAAATTTCTATGGCCCGACTATTGCCCCATCCACAGAACTCATCTTACCTTTTTTATGCATTTATGTCTTTCTGTCTCACTTCAAACTACTATGGCCCGACTATTTGTCATATTCGACCCCGTTCACAGTACTCATCTTACCCTTTTTATGCCTTTGTGTCTGTCTGTCTGTCTCTTTTATCCTTTTTACACTCTGCCTTTGTGTCTCTCTCTTTTACATCTATGAAACACTCTTCTGTTCCCCCCCCTGCCTTTGTGTCTGTCTGTCTCTTTTACGTCTGTGGCCACTCTTCTGTTCCCCCTCTCGACATTTTGTGACTTTGCCTGTTCCTCCTCTCTGTGAAGTCCCTCTGCCTTTGTGTCTGTCTGTCTCTTTTACATCTGTGAACCACTCTTCTGTTCCCCTTCTCGAATTTTTCTCACCTTGTTGTTCCTCCCTCTGTGAAACCCGAAATCAGCTAAATGGTAAATGATAACTATTCAAAACGTCTGCCATTTGAAATAATAATAACAAAAAAGTCCATTGAACGGCAGTTGACTTCTGACTTCAAATTTCTATGGCCCGACTATTTCTCATATTCGACCCCTTCCACAGTACTCATCTTACCTTTTTATGCCTTTGTGTCTGTCTGTCTCTTTTACCTCTGTGAATCATTATTCTGTCCCCCATCCCGACTTTTTGTCACTTTGATGTTCCTTCTCTTCTCTGTGAAGCCCCGAAGTCAGCTCCAGGGCTAATGATAACTATCAAAATGCCTGCCATTTGATATAAATAAATAAATAAATAATGTTTGAAAGCAAGTCTACAACGCTTTACTCGATTTATTCTAAGATTTCGAGATTGCTAGGTTTGATTCATNTGCTTACTATCAAAACGCCTGCCATTTGAAATAAACAAATAAATAATCAAAACGCCTGCCATTTGAAATAAATAAATAAATAATGTTTGAAAGCAAGTCTACAACGCTTTACTCGATTTATTCTAAGATTTCGAGATTGCTAGGTTTGATTCATACATACACCCATGAAAGAAAAGTCATTAGATTGTTTAACAACCACCTCCAATGGAGGGAGGGTTATCAAAAGAGAAGAACTAGTTCCGATGTATATTCGTGATCCTCCATTTCAAGTATATACTTGCATTAAGCTTACAAATAAACGCGTATATTTTAGAACTCGATAGTTAATTCTTTAAACTAGTGGTGATAGAAAGGATAATAATATAGATGCGGTTATATTTACCAGCTTTTTGCAGTCTATCGTTGCGTAAAATGAGCAATTTCATGCGCAAATTGATGGGAAGGGCGTTGCGAATTTGAGGAATGATGACGTGAAGGAGGGATTCACCATAGGAGACCACAAAGTGGGGTGCAGTGGCTGCAAGAATGGCGATCAAAGCTGCGGCCTCTTCCTTATTTTTGGCGGTTCCACTATCTGACAAATCGGTGATGATCTGAAAGATATAAAACAAGATCACAATAAATATAATTTGAATCACTACATGTCAGCCCGTTCTGTAAAATCTTAGCGACCAATTGAACCAATAAGCAGAAAATGTGCTTATCTGTGGTTGCCCTGAGCCTTCTGTCTGCAAACACTAATTAGGAAGTCGACAATTTTAATAAAGATTGAAACATTGGAAGAGGGAAGTGTATGTCGACCTTAAAATTACCTCTACATCATTTGGAAGTCACAAATCAAGTTACTCAAGAAATTCAATTTCCAAAATACAAAATTTGGTTCCAAAGCTCAATCATATTTTACCACTTTTAAATTACGGTTAAAAAGCCAGGTCTATTCATTAACCACTAATTCAATAAGGTAAACAAATAGAATATTGAACAATTCGCCTCCCATTACTTTAATTCAATTTATCAAATAGGGAATCAAAAGGAAAAATAGATATTTGCAAAAAAACTTGCTGTCTCACTTTTACAAGATAAAATATTCCGTAAATAAGATGATAATATCATTGTTGAGATTAAAGAAACATTTCACTGATCGGAACCTACTTTGAGTAACACACAACGAAGAGTGGGTTGAACACAGGCGGGATTGACGTCCGATAGACGTCCAAGACACTGCATAACCAGACCACGGATAGCAAACACTTCATCATTGAGAGCCACAAAGAGAGAGTTGAGGTGTCGAGACTGTGCCAAAAGATTATCAAACTGACTGTCCAGCATGGAGAAAACGCATTTGCGTACTTCACTGTCTAGAGAATGGTAGAGGGAACAGTAAATTAAGACGAAAATTACTTATGCCCTACCTGGATCACTGATACCGACAATGAGTAGCTTGGCTAGCACTTCTGACACCGCGTCCAACTCCTTTTGCATTTGGCCGGGAACATGATCGGCAGACTAGTGAGGTACAAATAATTATTAAAGTAAACCGAACAAATTACATTTAATAGGGGTAGCATCAACCGCAAACATGTTCGGACACCCTCCAGGCGAATCTCTCGCACTCCACAAGAGTTGATAGAAATAAAGTTTTGAGCAGTGTGCCGAACAAAAGAAGCCAATTTGTAGCCTAAAGGAGAAGAAACATAGTAAAGTTGGAAAGGCTCCTTTAATACTTGAGTGAAATATCAGACCCAACACAAGAAACCAGTTCAACGAAGTTATAAGGATATCGGATACGCACAATTAGCATGAAGACTAGTATTTCAGTGAGAACAACACGAAACTTTTGTAGGAAGTTTCATTAATAGAAGCTGCAACAATTATGCTAAAGTCAGCTTCATATGGTGAAAATAGCACGAAACCATTCAAGCTAATTGAAGTCGCATTATTTCATAAATGGTTAAAACAGAATTTATCATTACTGAAATACTAATAGGTGATCACAATGCCTGCAAAGAGAGCTTTCATTTCATGATAAGCAGGGAGCATAGAAACAATGAGAAAAGCGCCTTCTACTAGACAATGTCGGTAGATCAAGATGTCAACTAGAGGTGTGTATGAATATCGAACTGTTGTCTTCTTCCTCTTAAACGGTCATACTAAATCAGGTTAGCGTAGAGTAATACCCCTCTAGATTAAAGTTATAATGGAGATATCTATGAAAAGTAAGCCAAAATGCAACTACTGGAAAATTAAACGAAGAAAAGAACTGAGTATACGAAATGATTCACCCTCAAAATCGAAATTTCCAAGAGTCTTCAATGCCACAGTAACCAGTTGACTATCTGTTGGAGCATCTCCAGATGGATCAGCTTCACCAAAGGCAAGGGATGCCTTCGAGAAGGCCTCACCCCAAGGGAATCCAGGAAGCGGGACAGCACTAGTTCTCATTTGGCCAAATGGTGGAGCCACGAAAGAATGGCGAGCTCTCAGTGGTGTAGTACGCGAGGAGGGGATAGAGAGACGATGAGCACCCACTGTCGTTGAACCAGGAATGGGAGAACCGGGTGTGATTCCCGTCGCCATTCCCATTGGAAGACCTCCTGGAATACCAATACCTGTAGTGTTTGCTAGAATCACATTAATTCGCTTCAAGAGACCCTCCTGCACATCCCGCTTTAACTCAGGAATATGCTCAGCCACGAGAGCACATGTTATAGAGAGAGGCTGAGATAAACCGCGACTAATTATCGTATCCAACAGGCCCTTGATATGACCCGTAGATGACGAGCCAAGATTGCATGCAATCAAACCAAGTGTAAGCAGAATCGCTGTTGATAAGCTTCCACTCTTCTTCCTACAGATTGTACGGAAGAGATAAGACGAAATTTTGAGAGAGGAAACAATTAAGAGTAGGCTATAATGACTTACTTCGTAGAGGTGGATTCATTGAGTAGTTTTAGCTCATTCTTCAAAATCTCAACAAGTTTATTAACATAATCCCGCTTAAGGAACTCTTCACCAGCTGCGTATGTCATAAGACCGAGGGTGATCAAAGCATAGCCTTTCTCCTTATCCCGATTGACACAGTCAAAAAGAAAGTTAACAGCTGTCACAAGAACACTACAAAGAGCTGTCATTTTTAAGTTCAAACTAACCTTTCATTACCCTCTGAAGACTTAATAATGCTTCTAAGAGTGTGAGTGGCAACATCAGTCAGTCTGTGAAAAGATTGGTAAAAAGAGGATGACCTTGGTAACAAAAAGCACGAAGTTGAAAAATGAGCACTTACATAGGACATTTTGCAAGAGCCACAAGACGAGGAATAACCTTCATGACAAGATGAAGGACTCCAGTGTGCTTCATGGTGAAACAGCTGAGAACTAACTCCCAGATCTTATTGATGAAAGGAAGGTATAAGTGAAAAGGCAACCGCAGCAAAAAATGGGAGCAAAATGTGATGATAGACCTACTTTAGCAAGATTTGACCCAAGAACACGTTGACAAGCCTCAGAAACAAGAGGAACAGCCCTTTGTTGGCGAAATTGCTGTTGACGAAGTAATTCACTGGCAACCCCTTCATCTCCAAAGATCTGATTCGATGAAGTGAGTGCTGAAATAGTGCTTCCAGGCAACGGGCTTATATCCGCTTGGTTTAGATTAATGACCACCGGCCACTGAGTTTGACCAACGGTAAGTACCGCAGTCTCACCTTCAGTTTGATTTGTGATAACGGCATGAAAGATTGGCTAAATCAGAAAATTAAACAATCAAGATAGAACATATTTTTCATTCAATTGAAAGACAATTAGAAAGACAGCTACCTGCTCAAGCATGGAATCCAGAGAGCTTCTGAGTTTTTCAAACTCTGGGTTGGCGTAGACAAGAAGTTCATTGAGAATTAGAAGACTACCGTGGGACCATTCTTCTTTGGTCATTTTCTTATAAATTTGGTATACATTCTTAAATGGTATTAAATTATGTAAACAATTACTGACAAACCGGTGGAACATTAACGTCTGATGGCTTGAGAGCGACAGCCTTAATCTGAGGAAAAAGAAGCTGAGAGACACACTGAGTGTACCAAGAAACAGGGGGTTCATTTGCAGAGGGCAAAGAGGGTTGCTGGATAGTGACTGACTTTCGGAATGGGGTATTTCCCATTCCGCGAAGAACTTGACGACTAGAACTAGGTGGGAGTGACCGGGTCAGTTGATCACCGAAGGAGTTCACATTGAATTCACTCACAACAGCCAGCCTCTGACCCTGTCGACCAATTTCATTCTCTGCGGCTATTCCTAGAGTACATCGAAGAGCCATAGCTGATAGATCACGAAGAACAATCTATACAAAACAAAAAATGTATATTAGTCACTTCAAACTTAAAATTAATTCCAATGAATTCAACAAAAGTATTGACCTCTTTTTCCCTGAAACATTGTAGGAGTACTGGTAAACATTTTGCAATACTGTGATAGAAACTGACAGGAGTATGCAGAGCAGCTTCACGTATCATCAAGATCTAAGTTGTTAAAAAACAGTTCAATATGTCCGTTACTCGAGTAAGCAAAAGAAAGAGATTTCAAAATTTTACATTGAATTCCTTTTGAATAAACGACAGAGAACAAGATTTAAGACTTTCACAGGCACGTCTAATTTGACTTTCAGCAAAATCATTTGGCAAGAGAAGACCGAATTCACCCAAAAGGCGACCACTGAGAACGATAAGTTGTAGATCGCCCAAATAATTGAGGGAATTCAGTGAAGCAATAAATTTGGGACAATAGGGAGAAAGAGAAGCGAAATCAATCTCAGCAAGGCATCCTAAAATAATTATATACTCATATTCAAAAGAATCAATGAAAAATTTGGTTTAAATCTATTCAGGATCATTTCATATTTGGTTTACCAAAAGCAATCAAATAGTAAATACTTGCCAATAGCCAAAATCGCGCCTTTCTTTTCATTTCCATCATTACCATTTAGCATTTCATTGAGTTCAACACACAAATAATCGATAACTTCTGTATAATTGCTAGATGCTGCCTCTTTGAGGTCAGAAGCAATGAATTTTCGAAGATCGGAAACTGTTGATAAGCGAGTTTCATCTGAATTGGACTTAAGTCCATCGAGATAGCGATTAACAAGATTTTCCATGACAAATATAACCTGGCTCAACAAATCAGAAGCTCATGATCGGAATTCGAGACAAATATGCAACAAGGTTGTTACATGAAGAAGATTAAAGATATGTATGCTAATTGGTCAGTAAATGACCTCTGAAATATATTCTCAATTTTGGCCATTATTCTCATTGTTAATCTCAAATAATTATGGTTATTTGATAAGACAAATTTCCATTATGCCAACGGTACTGGTTAAGAGAAATTCATTTAAAAATTTACTAATCTGTTTTGGTCTAATGTAAGTTCAATAAATCAGTCAACAATTGCATGTCTATAGGCATTGTGAGATGAGTAATATTGAACGTTCGTTAAAAGCAATGCATTTTTTAAAAAGTTAAAAATGCTCTTCTGCAAGTAAACGACATCTAACTAACTGTAGGATGATCCGTAAAACAAATTTACCCAGTTTTCTATGTTTTACCTTTAGTATTAGGTATTCCATCGACCTTATAAGTATGGGAAATGAATATTGATACTTATAACATTATAAAATTTGATGCAAGTTGAAAATATAGACTAAATTCATTGAGGAACTGACAAAGAAATTATGGAGCATATTCATAATAAAACTTATCTTCTCTATGATAAATTTTCAAAGACAATTTGATTAATAGTCCGAAATTATAGTTAAAAACTTGAGTATTAACTTTTCTCACATATATTCCGTATTGTGAATGAAATTATATTGTCCTGTGTAAAATTCATAATCCCAAATTACGTAATCAATCTTTTGAACTATGCATTCGACTTACTACCATATTTGAAGTGTTTAAATTCAGCCACTCATTTCTTATCGTTGAAGTCTCGAGGTTAATATAAGCATTTACTCAAGAATATATATCGAGAGCACGTACAATTCGGTAATTCGGAGGTGGAGGCTGTTAGGTTATTTTTTAATGAAATAAATGACGAGTAATCGTGTAAGAAAATATAGAATGTATTTCGCAGTTAGGCTGAAAGTTAAATATTAGCTTTTGACGAACTGCTATATCTGGAAACAAAAAGTTAAAATAAACTCTATGATCTTATGATAAGACATATTTAAATATTAATTCATATACCAAGTAATAAAAGGTATCAATAATTCATGCCCAATCTATTTATTTGCTAAATATTTCTCTGAGGTGTAAAGCACCAACACCGTAGAAAGCATTCACAAGGTTTTTCGCTCGGTGCTTAGTTTTAGGTAGCGTTTTTCTGTTTTTGTCTCCAATCTTCAAAACTCTCAAATCTCAATTTTGCTTTAATAATTTTAACGTTTTGTGTTTTTTTCAAAAACTTTGCAAGCTACTTTCTGACCAAGTGGTCATTTCCTGGTTACGAACCGTTAATCTATTCCTTAAAATTGCTATTACTCTTCAAATTTGACGCTTTAATTTTTCAAGTGTTGCTTCCGTTGTACGTTTTGCCATATTAAATTGATTGGAGCATCGTAACCACTCTTTGGTTATATTTAAGCGCCCAAATGATCAAAAATAAACTCTCCGTGGTAGCACGTTCACTTTCTTCGGGCTTTAGTTCTCGAGCAAGCGTTGTTTCCAAGGATGGCGCTATGATTATATGCTGGCATCCAAAAATGGACATTCCATATGAGAATACTAAGGTGTGCATCTTTCACTAATCTTTACATTATTAGCCCATCATTCGTGATCTCGAAAGTTTGAAGAGACCGTTCTCACCTCTCCGTGTAGAATTTGATCACACTTCAAATCCCACAATTAAAGAAGTGTCAGATGCCCTTTGTAAATCCGCCAGAACCCTCAAACCAAAGTATGATTTTCTTTTTTTCGAATTATTTCTTTTTTCTAGCCGCACAGAGCGTTCATTCAGCCCGTACCATTGGGATGACGAGATTCTGCGTAGAAGGCTCTAGATATCCAATCCCCACTAAATTGTAGATATAGTGTTTCATTTAATGACACCGTATTTTTCTTTTATTTTCATTGCTTTTTTCTAAAATCTTGGATTGCAATCATGACTACCATGTAAGGTGCGCTTAATTCACAGGAATACAAATACGAGCATATGAAAATTTTGTAAGAATGAGATTTGGAGATAGAGTCTGAATAAAATGTTAATGTAGTACATCAATAGAGCTAGTATGTTCAATATTTGTGCATATAAACGGGCAGTGTGCTTATTGTTTGGCTCTAAATCTCCAACAAAATTTTGTTGTATATACAAAGCGTCCGTCCTCCATTTTTTTGTTCGCTTCACCTTTTGATAGACTTTAGGTGATTACCTGCAAGAAGAGAACGATTTAGTAAGAGGATAGTTAACGCATAATCATTTTGTATTTCGATTTCTTAAAGCATAGTGCAAGAATCAGTTGAATTATGGGCAGTGGGCTTTATTCTACAAATATGCAACGTACCCATTCAGAAATGGGACAAAACAATGCGTTTTTGTTCAAAATTCTCTCTAGAATCTATTAAGTTGCATGGTTCAATTTAAATCCATACTTTTTGTCGATGAAATTATTGAGATATCAGTATTTCTTATGACCTACTTATTTCGCGTGAAGTGGAGGTATTTGTATGGGCTTCTAATTTCGTAAGTGTTTTGGACATTGATGAATTCTGTTCAAGATTTTCCTGTGAATTCTTTGTTTTGCTCCTGTCTTTACTCCTAGTCAGGGATTTACTCAATCGATGGTAGCAGATATAACAGTAGATTTTCCCGTTTTTTATCCTAACTGATGTCTCGTTTTGTCCATCACCAAGTTGAATTCCACACCGGGAGCAGTTGAAACAAGAGAGATGGTAGAAAAGTCCCAGCTCTTCAATAATCATTAAATCACTTGACCCTTAAAATGAATAGTTTTGTGTTAATATACATAACTACTGATATCCTGTTAGCAGAGTGCATTTGTCACTTACCTAATTGTTGATTACAACCTGCGCAGTTGTACCAGGTGCCAATCACATTGACTCGAGATTGTCTATTTGATGCCATACTTAAATAAAATAAGTTAACTTAAATACTAGGATTATTTTGCATACTCTTATTAGAACGACTCATACTTCTGTTTTCGGAGGGCTGGGTCACTGGGAATTCTTTTAGAAGCCGGTTTCAACTTCTTGTGCATACGTTGCTCACTTTCTCTTTTTTCATTTAGTCTCATTGATGAATTTGTGAAAGTATTTGCAGGTTGTTTTCCCTCTTCAATTCCTATTGGCGGCAACAGCACGGTTTCGGGATTTCTCACCTCTGGTTTCTCAATACCAATTTCTGATTTAGAGAAGTGAAGTGTTTCACAATTTGAGTATCTCAACACTTCATTAGCTTTCATACTCGGGAGGAGTTTCGTATCAACCTCCTCATAAGGTTTTCTCCCCTCTACTTCCACTTGAGGTGTATTTAATGGTTGATGTGGTATTTCAGCGCCTGAATCAATATCACTTGTATCTTTGGGTCGACAATCTAATCCCCCATAAATATTCAGTTCACTCCTCCAACCGTACCCAATTGAAGTAGGTGATTTAACAAGCGCCCCTTTGTCGGCAATATTTATATTACTACCATGCTGAATATAATCTCGTCGGTAGGTATCCATATCACTTCTCAGTAAATCATTCGAACTGCTAGCCTTTTTCGTTGAAAGTGCACAGTTGTTAGGAGTTGAATTCAACACGGATTTGCTGGACGTATTGTCGATAACAATCTTAGGATATCTATACTGATATTGAAGATTCGATGTTTCCATAGATGGAGGAGGTGGAAGTGGTGTGATAATCGATAACTGTTGATCGATAGAGCTGCTGGTTGGAATAAGTGGAGGTGTAGGTGGGGGTTTGATAGTGCCTATTGATGGGGGAGATTCCGATGGTGTCGCAAGTAAACTATCTGAAGATCCAGGCTCCGGCGGAGGTGGAATGTTTGAAGGCCCAAATGCTGGCGAATAGGATCGGTTAATGTGAATCTGTGATACCGGTCGTTGGTTTCTCTTTTGAGAGTAACTTCCCCTGCTATCTTCCAAAGTATCCTTAAAAAAAACGTTAAAATACCCTTTCGAAGTTAGCTAATGATAGCTTTTTTACTGCAATACTGATGGGAACATCGGAAATTAATATTGTTTAATAGGCATTCTTTTAGTTTTGGAAGGCGTTTACATGTAAACAAACTTGAATGTCATTTAATTAAATACGCGTAGGTTTCGGTAATAAAATGTTTGGAAATCTTCTTTTCATTGGCTTAGCGGACATCACTCAAAGATTTCCATTTCAGAAATCAGTCTCAATTAGTCACCCAATACTGAATTCGGATTATCCCGAAATGGATCCAGTAGGCGTGTACAATGAATTATCACATCAAATAATTTATATGGGAACAAATACATTTCAATAATTTGCTAACCATATTCCTCAGTTGAGTGTTGAATTTTGCAATAACCGTTCTTTCATGATCAAGTAGGACAATAAAGCTTAATTAGTAGTTGATAAAGTAGTCGATCAATCACCTATTTCCTAATCTGCATGTAGGCAACTTTACTTTCTGAATAATCAAACAGATGTTTGAATGGCAAGACCTCTACTTACAGGCTGCTGCAACCCTGCCACTATTTTAATTAGGACCTGATAAGAATGTGTTAATAGGCATTAGTAAGAGGGAATAATAATAAAGACTTGTGAACGGAAATTCACGCATAAATGGTCCTCGCTATAAGAGTACTACAAAAGAATTCTGGCATTTAAAGTAAGTAAACCTCTTAATTTCCTGATATCTCCATATGCTCTTATCCGTCATCCCACCGCTTCAACTTATAATAGGTTCTAACATGTCCTAGAAGTAATAACATTTTCAATTTCCTCCATTGATAACCAATTAATTAGCTAACTTCACTTCTTTTGAAACAGGAGAAAATGCTCTCTTGATAAAAAAGATGTACATAGAGAGAAAATTGAATCTGAAATCCTGTTTCAAAGTTAAAATACTAGATTAGCATGTTAAATCCCGTTTCAAACATGCGTGTAGTTTTGCCATATATTTTAAAGTAAATTGGGTGAAATGTATGCTATTCAAGAGAGAACTGACCTGTGTAATAGCAGTTTCAACTGTTAAAGAGTTGACAGACTCGATAACTGGATGAGGTGGTTCATAATTACTCATCACTGTAGAGGCTTTAGTAGACATATCCTTTCTTGAAGGACTGGACGATGTGAGATAAAGGTCTACAAAAGCAGAATAGGTAAATACTCTTACGCATTAGATTGGAACGTACAGAAATTTCTCTCCCATACACTGACCTTCATATTTCAACTTACCTTGCTCTGTAGCGGGGACGATTAACTCAGTTCTGTTAGTGGGTTGAGGCTTTTGCGGTTCAGGTGAATTAGTGCTGTTGCTTCTTTCAGTTGTCCCTATTTTGAGATGCTTGTTTTCTTCAATTCTGAAATATTTGAAAACAGACATTTCTTAAAATTATTGAAAAGTCTATCACCAATGAAGAAACACTATTAGATACCAATGCACTGATAATCGATTATGATAAGAACAGTTGTATCAGTAGGAAATGGTAAAATCGTTAAAATTATCTCTCATAGCTAAGTATTCTAGACAGCTTTCAGTGAATTTAAATGCTTAAATTGATGAATTGCTTATCTGCTTATGTTTGTTTGATAAGTTACTTAATCACAGCTGAATTAATAGCGCTGCAAATTTCAATTGCGAGTATGGGAATTTCAAAATAACATCAGAGAACATGTGGAATGCTGATCAAAGGAATCTTATGGGTGCTAACACACTGAAAAAAACATGTGTAGATACCCATCAGCCAGTCAGCAAACTGAATTTATGCAATACAAGCTTAATATTGACTGTATTTAATGACTAAGCGTTCTGGTAGGTGGCCATAGCAGAAACAAGCTTTATTCAGTTAACCGTACTCTCGAAGCGGGTTAGCTAATTTTGGGATCAATTTTATGGTAGTGGATTTTGCGGGAGGATTATCAAACTTTTGTCAAGGCTTATTTATGTGGAATTCGCTACAACAGCAAATTAAATATAAATATGGGTAATTTATACAATAAAGTTTTCATATCTACCGAAGTCTGACTCAGTAGGTATTAAAGCAAGATCTAGAACGAAGAATACCTTGTGATTTGTGGCAATTAAAAGTAAAGAATGGCAGCGTCTTCTTTTTTCAAGTTCCAAATTTTCAAATTCGCTCTCCCACCTCTGCCAGCAAAGCAATGCACATGACTTTCGAACTCAGATATTTGACACTTAATAGTGAAACAACGTGGACTTTCCTAGAAGACCGCCGCATTAGTCTGAATCTACTAGAACTTCCTAGAAATTTATTCAGATTTTGCTTGTTTACTATCTACTAAATATATGCAGAACTAACGAAAAAAATTAATTTTTGGTTATTATAGGCTTTTTTCTCCAACTTGTACTTTTATTTCGTTTGTGTACAATCTGTTTGAATAAATGCACGATTTACCTCGTAGTAAATATGAATTTTTTGCAGATTCTTTGTTCAGAATTAACACCTCTATCTAAACGATTTCAGTGGCTCTATATTATATAAATTAAATAAATATAATAGCAATGCACAAATTCAAATTGGGATCTAATGGAAGTAAATGTTTCAATGGGGAAAACCTACTAATAGCACCTTCACTTTCAGTTATTTTTTTCAATAGTTGGCCAAAAGTGCTTCTTTTTAAATAGCCAAAGAAAATTGTCAATTGGTGATTATTGGATCTTAGGGATTACTGAATCGGCAATACAATTAATCATTTTTTTATTTTAGGTAACTATCACTGGAAATGAAAATGGATGGGAATGCATAAGGCCTTCTAAGGAGAAAGGCTACCACGATCATTTAGGCTGCTTAAAGATAAAATCGAAGATAAACATGTCCATGTTCGTTCAAGCAAATGAAATGATTAAATAGAAAATCTAATTTAGTAGGTACTGATACTGATTAAAGAAAAAAATAATAAGCATTTCCCTCTATTTGGATCCATATTGAATGAGTACGGGTAAGTTGAAACCATTTCAGTGGTCAAGTGCAGGATAAACAATTTCCAAGCATATCAATTAGGCAATACTATGTTTATCCATATTATGAAATTTGAATGATAAATGAAATGGGTTTTAATAGAGACAAACGTCTTTATTTAAACACAGAGGTTTATATTTTGTCAATTGCTATTTACTTTTGTTGGATAAAATTAGATGGCATTAAATAGCGTCTTTATAATATAAAAAGGCAATTCCGATACCATTTTAAGACTTTTTGAATACATACTCTTAATTTAGATCATCGCATAGTTTCGCTTTTTATTTCTGGGTTGTTTATACTATAATAATAATTTAATCTAATTTCGTGTTCATATTTATATTTTTACTCGAATTTTTGACAAATTTCTTTCCAAATTATGAAATGAATTCAAAAATATTTTGCTTTACGTCACTCCTTTTAATCCCTTCTCAGAGTATTTAATGGCGAAGCTTTTTAAAAATAGATATTCAATGATTTTCATGTCGGATCATTTTTAATTCAGAATTAATCGGAATTGGTTTCTAAGGCATAATATCCTTTCAATTACTTAAAATGGAAAGTTATAGCTATGGAGTCACAACCTATTCCCCATTGATATTTTCTATTAAAAGTAAATAACAACTTCGTTGACACATTCTAACAACCCTAGCAATTTAAAGATAGGAGTGTCACCTCCATCACTTCCTTTCAACTTCATCTATTCCTATGCAACCAGAAGGAGGTGAAATGAATGAAATAAAGATAATGCAAATGAATGCTAATCTCCGTTATCGAAAGCGAACTTACGGTTCCGTTTTCAACTATTTTCTGTGACAGGTGAGACTAAATCAAATGTTTTCAAAATTTCATGGAATGAAGCGTTAAGGTCAAAGAGTCTCTAATCGCAACGGAAATAGGAAGACGCCTAAATTTTTAGACCTAAATCACCTCGGTAAATATTGTTTCAAACCCTATCTCTTCATCTTGAAATATTTCAATTACATTATAAATACTTCAGCAATTAGCTGTCATTCATTATAAAAAAGGAATTAATATAGTTTTAACAATAACTCAATTTGTCAACTGCTCAATAAGTTTATGCTATCGCAAATAGGAATTTTTCATAAACGTAAAGAATGCAACTAGAAATTCGAACTTTTGTAAAATAGAACTATATATGGATGACCTAAAAGTTAAGCAATTCAAAAAACCTAAAATTCCAAATCGTTAGTCATGATTTCTCGAAGAAAAATCCTTTTCGTTTTGATGCGAGTAGTGACTTAAAATCTCAGGCGTGTCTTGAAGCTAAATTATGTTGAATTATGATTATTTCTAATTTTTGGAATGATTGCTCTAATATTTAGCCATCTGTGAGACAGGATGAGAGATTTGACATCAATTTAATTTTAATATGCGGTGGAAGTTTGAAATAATCATAATTAAATTAATGCTTGATCTTTGGATCCTCAACTAAGGTTATGCTGTTTGAAATTAATTAAACAAGATTAGAGGAGTACTCACAAACGATGTAGACGGTTTAACATTCTGCTTATTTGAACAATATTTAGATTTAGATATTTCAATCTGACCTACTCAAGAAAAGATCATTTTTATAGTCAAGCGATTGCCAAGGCCAATACCGTGAGAACTATAGCTCCATGCTGTTATCCAGTTAAATAAATTAATTAAATTAAATGTTTGTCATTATTTCGTAAATAATGGCATATTTGTAAGCCTAAATAGTCAAACAAAACTTTCATAGAGTTCTACCAGTTTACAATGCTTTATATTGTGTTTCATTAAACGATATGATAGGAGAAAAGATTTAGCTCTATTAGCTAATAGCAGACTAGCGGAATCTCAGAAATTCTGTCGATAGGGTCAAGGTCAAAGTGGAATTTACTTAACAGCAGAAATGAAGAATTGAGTTATTTGGAGAGCTAGAGAGAGAGATATGGAGAACAAAATGAATAAACGAAGAAATATAGCGCAAAAAGATACGAAAAGATAGCAAGATTTGATCATCTGCACAATTAGTTTTGCAATCGTCACGTTTTGAATGGTACTGACATAGGAAATTATCTAAAGATACTATAGTAGTAAAAAATTGAGGGTTCAAATAAGCGCAATTATATAGATGAAAAGTAACTCCCTATAAGACCTCCAGAAATTCAAGATTGGGAAAGTATTGAGTGAAACGAGTTGCCTGAGAGCAGAGATCATTGAGGAATACATTAGAATTACGTGCTAAAATTTATTCAAGTCACTGTCAGGTAAAACTCAGAGCTACTGGGTTCTATAATGGCCAACCAAACTGATTAAGAAAATGCGAGATAGCGCTCAATTGAAAAATCAACTTAAATCTCCAGTCTGCATATTTGTGTCATCTTCCGTTTTTAAGTAATGAGTAAATTATTGACTTTTGGAAACACATTTATTCCCTAAAAAGGTACGTAAAGAAGAAAAGATTTCAAATAAATTCTAGAACAGATACCCCCCCCCCAACCCACTCGAATAATAAAATGCTAATTTATTCCCGTATATAATTAGCTTACTTTACTTGCTCATTCATGAAATAATTATAGACAATGAAGTGCTATAATCACCGTCAAAAACGTCAAGTTTTTCGGTTATTATTTAAGAAATACTTGTTTACCCACGATATCGCTTGCAATGGTGATAGAGATTCTTACCACGCACGAGAAATGCCAAAAAAGCATAGATTTGCTAGTAACCCCTTTTCAAAGGCTTCAAAGACACTGAGTGACATTTCTATTTTCCATCGAATTCATGCAAATTAGGTTTCCATAAGATTTGTTTTTAAAAGCCATCAAATGAATTTAGCACCTCTTTGAAAATTTCAAACAAACTTTAATGAATGGAAATTTTTTTCATCAAGCATGGAAAAGGTTATTTTCTTAATGTCTTCTAATAGCCAATAAGTTTTAGATATTCTGAGATAAGCATGACCAACCTTACTTCGTTCCATTTAACAGTCAGTCAACTCAGAACCCTCTTGACAGAGATTAACTAGCCAATATCTATCTACTGAATTTTTACACCGACGTTTCCATGCTGAAACTAGGGAGAGAATTTGTAATTTATTAAGTATCTTGCTGTGGGGAACTTAACCAATTCCAACGGATGTATCTTGATTTCATGCACAGAAAGACACTTTCGATTTCCTGCCAATTGTCTCGCTTTATTTTGAAATCTCAATTTGGACGTTATAACTTTTCCACTCCAAAATGTTTTTCTTTATTTGCTGCCTGTCTTTTATCTTGTCCATTGGTGTACTAATTAATGTAAATTTCAGTTTGACTTTTTATCTCATTCCAAGTCTAATTTAGATGTGCCGATTTTTGACTGTTTTTTAAATAGACTAATATGTTTAACTAAGAAATCGCCACCAAATTAACCTGACGCATATTCAATATAAATCTAGGCACTAAATTTATGTCAGCACTGATGAGGATGCTGAGAACGATGGATCACATTTTCAGCACTTTTAACCCGCTCAACAAGACTATATCTCTTACTTTGAGGGAGAAGAACCATTGGGCAAGGAGGCATCTTTCTACAAACAGGAAAAAAATTAATGTTAATTCAATATGTGCAAGCAGTTGCAAAAACAATTATCAACAAAAAAGGCACCTTCATTTCAACCATTGTTGTTGTTGTTGTTGAAGTTTCATTAGTTCGTACCCGATCAGTAGGTGTTTGTGATATTTTCGCTTTGTCTAAAAAATTACATACCCACAAAGATCAACTCCTTAACCACTTCCTATTTACGCAAAACCAAGCATATTTGGCATAATTTCGAGAATGTTGTTAACAGAGAGGTGTAAATAGGGCATGAGCAGTCCGAATGTGAGAGGAGGAAATGCTAATCAGACGATATGCAAATCCCCGTCCTTATTTATTGTGCATAGATAACATGTCCCCTTGGCTAAAATGCGTAATTGAACATTCTCATACACATGACTTCCCCATAATAAGTGAAAAAATTTTGCGAAACCAGATATTATGCACTTTTCATTCCTTCATTTTCTTGGGAGAAATAAAAGCGCAGCTAATTTCAGTCAAAATCAAGACATGAATTCATTAAAACTGGATGGAATAGGGTCAAATATGTAATACACACACAAGAGTATGACGGCAGATAGATGTTTGCCAGAATTATTGGTTGAGGATATTTTACAACTGTGGAATTTTTATCTCAAAATTCTGAGCGCATGGGGAAATTCCACTGAGACACAGTAACCTAGGCATGATGTTTCTTTCTGTGTCTCACTTAGTAGTATTACGATGTAATCATGCCAGGACTTGTAACTCCTGAATGCGTGCACAGTTCTTAATGTTACGATAAATAACACGCTATCACTCTCTCTCTCTCTCTCTTTCGGGCGTTCATTTGGGTTCAGCTCCTGGTCAAAGAGGGTTGTTTGTGAGAAAACTGAGTCAACTTAAATTTAACATGAGACATGATTAACTTGTTAGCATTGGTCAAGGAGGAGTATTATGACTTTAGTCGCCCTTTTGAAAGCTTCCAGTATGCTCAGCTGCAACGCGCTCCCATTCTAAAGGATTGGAAATTACTTAAATTATCACCATATGCCCCAGTGATAACTCAATTAACGTGAGTGCCTATCAAACAGTTGAAATGATCTGAGTCTCCCCAATAGGACCCTATCTTAGATGAGTGTTGAAATAAGCTTTTAAACTTCGTTTTTTTTTAAAAAAAACGCTATAGTGGATATCATTTTTCTGTTTCTGTTAATCTAATATGACAACTGCACTGAAGTGGCATAATTGACAAATCAAACTAAATTGACAGACTGCCAAGCTTTGATCAATCACGAACATGAACGCAACCGAGAATAGAAGGTGACAATACCCAGATTTCAGCTATGAATCATTTAAGGGTGAAAATGATGTCTCAATCAGTCTTCCGCTTTTACTTAACTCCAGCTTTCACAAAATTTCCTATTTCCTTGTTTATTTAAAAATAACCATAAAAGGACACTTGACATTTACCATGAGGGATTCTAATAAAAATAATCAATATTAATGACTATACGAACGAAAGATGGAGGTGAATGCAAAAAAAGAAACAAGTTGGTAGAGTTAAGGAAGGCATTTCGTCGTAGAGACGGGCCGATCACAGCATTTTCAACTTTAAAAGTAAATATTTGTACAAAGTAGAAAACGAATTCCATATTAATGCTTGGATAAGTGAATTATTCTGAAACTTTAATCAGCTTTGCATCAACACTCATTTGTAATTAGTCCGTTACTTGCAGCAACATGGAATAAAGCATATAGAAAGTATTAGCAAATTTAAATTAAACCAGTTAATAAAGAATGAGACAAAATTGTGCTGTAATTGTGAAATAAGTGCCCCATATGATATCCGAGTTTGTCTATAATTCGATCTTTACCCATACTCAGAGTAACCAGTCACATTGGTTAGGCATATCTTTTAGACATTCGCGAAAGTCGAGTTCACACCAGGAAAGATCGAAAATACTACTTATCTACCCAAGATGAACGTTTAAAACTTTTTCATAATCGGAGTTGGGAGGTGTAATGATCCGTGATTCAGCTTTCAGGAAGAGTTGTACAAAAGCTTGCTCTTCCGTCATTTGGTAGCCTTGTAATTAATACAGCATCCATACTTCCTTCCTTCCATCCAATTTTCCATTTTCTCATTATAAACTGATGTACTCTTGAGTATTGATGGCGGCAGAGATGTTAATAGTAAAAAGAATTGAACAAAGAGTGGGGCAAACTCGTGCTTTTTTGATAAGGCGAAGTAAATTCTTATACTGGAAAAAAAAGAGAGTAAATTAGAATGATCAATGCAGCAATGCCTATCAAGACCCAATTTCAGTCGCTACTTTCCCACGTCATTCAACGCTGAAATCTTGTTTATAAAGTTGAAAAAATTAATAAGAAAAATTCCAATTCATCACCAGAAAACTTTGCAGTTCATTGTGAAATTTTTCGTATGATATAACTGTCAATTTGAGAAATTTGATTTGGTGGTAAGGAACTGATTGATTTTTTTTCTAAAATGGTTAATATAATTTCATCGGTTCCTCTTCTTAATAATCATATATCAATTTAATCTATACCATTTCAGGCGGTAAATGCAATTAGTTTTAGACATAACAGGGGATGAAAAAGCTTCCTGCCTGTAGAAATGGAGCAGAGCTCATCTTAAGTTGGAAAAAAAATCTTTGAGTAGCTTTGAAGGCGTTATCTTCGTTGATTATAATCAATTCTACTTATTTAGTTAACGCGAACCGATGAGTAGAACTCCATGACTATGACCTACCACCTTAACCAACTACACTCATGCTACTTAATAAGAAGTATAGTGGAGTCAATCCTGCAAATAAAGCTGCAAGGTGGAAATAGCATATATTTGCTGAGCAAATTTACCTTTCATTTTCTCCCGACACACTTTCACTTCCACAGGTCTTTGCTTGTTGGTTAATCGTTGTAGTTCTTGATAGAGTTTTGTGAGATTTTTTATGAGTAAGGGACGATCCGAAGTATATGTACAGCAGAGGTTATCAACCGAAAGTAGCTCATCACCAACCTGTAGGCTCCCTCGTTCTGCCATTGAATCTAACACCAATTGTTAGTAAGAATGAGAGAGTATGTAAACAGAGATTTAGGCGACTAGCCAAAAATATAACTATCTACGAGCTTTCGACAATAAATAAAAATTCTAAAGAACGAGATTAGAACAACTAGTTACTCTCAAAATTCTAATATGTGAAGAGAATTAGATAAATGGAGTAGTTTTGGTTAAAATACCGTGAGAAATTATATTCTAAACCATTGGATACTGGTTTAAACCGAATGTTAATGCCCATGCCAATGACAGTATATTTCAAAATCTTAGAAAACCTTTAATATATATATATATATATATATATATGCGTGCGGAAGCATTAATGTATAATACCTTTTAGGTTTGTTTCGTTCTGCCACGGAATCTGATATAATTTGGGATCAAGATCAGTTGAAGTAACTCTACTACTTCAACAAGGTTATGTATTGATGAATTGTAATGAAATGGCCAAATGTTAATATAAACTTATTAATAAATAGAATTCGATGAGTTTTATGTTTCGGCTTGACATATTTCATCTTTGATGACGGGGTGTTTAGTTAAGACTTGATTTGCATGTGCCTAATCTTTATGATTAAGTCTTTCTAGGGGCCAAATTAGATCCTTCGAAATCGAAATTTTATTGATCTCTATTTGTCTGACTGAATTCAAAGGTTGATCCTGTTTATTTTGACAAGTATTTTCGTATGAATCCTTAATGAATAAACAGCTTGACAATTAACCTTGTTTTGTGAGAGAAAGAAACATAGAGCAAATTTAGAAACTCCGCATGACAAGTTCATAGTCCACACTAGAGTGAAATCCATTCGTTCATTTGAACTTATTGCGGAATAATTAAATTTGTGAATGAAAAATACAGGTAAATGGAGAAACAGGTGAAAAAAAACACCTTACCTTTAACTAGACCTCGAATGACAAATGGCGGCCCGTCATCGGCACCCTCTGCGCCAACAACTAGACCCAAGTTGTCTGCTTTCACGCAGTCTGAGTTGTAAACCAGACGAATACGAATTGGCGGAGGTCGCTTATCTGTTTTCTGAAGAAAAAAAGTACAAAAAAAGTGAATAGATTTTCTTTCTTACGTGTTCGATACTAATGCCTTAAGGAGGTAGTATGTAAAGAGTATTTTTATCCATTTGTTTAGCAACAATCAGCTAAAAGTAATCTTAAAGCTGGGAAGGTTGATGTCTAGCTCTCAATACTAAATTGAAAACACGCTGAAGAGCAGAATATTTGTTTACTTCGACAATAAAAAAAGAAAGTTTTGCGTTTGTGCAGTAGTAAATCAAGGCACTGTTAAAGTCATATTAGTTTGAGATATTTGGACGCATTGAACTCGGTAAAGTTGTTTTTTCCTCAGATAAAGGTTCATGTTTGTTAACATTATTTAAAGCAAAGTATTTCCTAAATGAATTTCAACTCAGTTAACAGAATAAATAAACTAAGCGAGCTTGTAACTTGTGACACAGGGCAATTAATGAATATAAGAAAAGATTTGTAAATGCTAATTATCAATGCATCGGTTCCTGATACTAACAAAAGGCAAAGATGAGAGGTTGGTTATCACAAATTTAAACTGCTATTTTGTTTTTTTTCGTTTTAACTGTAAAACCCATTGCATAAGTATCTAACATCATAAATTAGAGGTACAACAATAAGGAAAGATAAAATATGTATTAATATTATAATAAGCACTGTCGGTAGATTGCGGTTCAAATATTGAGGCTTTACTCTCTTTCTTGGTGGCAAATTGTGTTAATTATTTGCCATTCCAAACCCAAAGTTAGTTTAGAAAGTTCTGGATCAATCAATTATCCAATTCATCGATTGCGTAAAGACAAATTTAGGTATAATTATTACGTTTGATGAGTTATATTAATAATATCGTAATGTATAAGCCATTCATTTAGTCCAATGAGACTAGAAAATTGCTCTTTTAATAAAGGGAACTATAACAGGCTTGAAGGCTATGCTCCAGGTGGATATTACTTAAGATATCATAGAATTAAATTTATGGATGTCAGGACTCCAATTGTGACTGGTTCTGTGTAAAAGATTACACTTACCTGTCTCCACCGCTCTACAGTAATTACTTTGTCAAATGCACTGAAATTTGCTTATGACTTCTGCGTCAAGAAAAATGTTCACAGGCGTAAAAGAATGCAAAGTAC